ATGTGGTGCTGGTCATGAACCAGGTCCTCAAAAAGCCAGTCAAGAGGAACTGCGAGAAAAAGCATGCCATCATGTCACACTCATAGTTTTTTTTTTCTTTTTTTTCTTCATAGTTTCATCATAGTTTTTTTAGTTGCAAAGGTTATTTATTTTCTGTTTTTGAGATGAAAAAGTTTATTTATTTTTTGTTTTTGAGATGAAAAAGTTTATTCTTTCTAATTATTCATGCACGTACTTTGCATGGCACATACAATTTATGTTTTTTTTTTGCTAAATTGTGCAAGTTTAATATTACTTTTTGGCTGAGCCATAGCAAAGCCTATTACACCAGTGATGATCAAAAAGTTTTGCATATGTCTGTTTGTTTGTGTTAAAGCTTGTGAAATCTATCCAGTTCTTGATTTTCTATTTGTCGCTCACCAAAGACTTTGATCACTTAACAGCGTTCCTAATTGCTTGCTCTAATTTTAGTTTATATAATTTTGTTCATTACAATTCAAAATCAAGTTTATTGGTAAAAAGTTAATTTTGCCTTCCATGTCCTTCTTGTTTAATTGAAAGAATTCATGTACGTTGCAGTCTGCTATTGCAAGACCACTAAAATTTGTTCCCTACGGAAGAAACGTACCAGTCACTTTGCTTTGTTAAAATTTGAGTTGCTATCCAGTATTTTAAAATTCAAAGTTTATTCAAAGCCTTTGATTTGTTATCAGTAACACTAGCATCACTTATCCTAAATATTTTTTAAACCCACCCTTCTGTTTTGAAAAAGCTATCAAGTGGGTTTGTGCAAAGGCCCTGGTGTCTATCTGTTCCTTTTAAAGTTAAACTGGAGACTTGTTTTAAAGACTGTTTTCATTATCTGTTGTTTTTATCCCAATGATGTATATACTGCAACTGCAATACTCCACTGAAGTGCAATTTTTTCTATAGTAATTTCAAAACTTTGATTATAATTTTGCTGGGACATTCAGTGATTGACAGGTATGATTTGTTCTGATTAACATTCTGAATTCTTCAACGCTGTTTGTATTGTTATTGTACAATTTACTGAATTCGTTACTAGTTGTGACTGAAAATTACTTGTATTAATTTAATGAAGTTAAAACCTATGCTTGTATATCTGGAGAGTTGATTATTTTCTTTCATTATATTACATTTAAATGAGTACAACCAGAAAAAAATACTCACCAAATTGACAACATAACCTACATAGGTTATGACTCCACAACAAGTCGACTTTTTCCGTTCGGCAACGAGCCGACAATATGTAAAACACAACACGCATTGGACCAAAATAATATTACATACACTCGTTGAACCAGAAACTCCTCCCATTTCTAAATTCATTCAAAAAATCACACGACAAACTTCGAGACTTCTTCCCTTCGCGGCTCCCTCACCCAAACAATAACGCACCGTCACGTACCAACACGCATCATTAAAATAGACAGTTTTCAAACTCGCATCTCGCCACATTTAACGCAAATAGGCGCAAACCACATACGCAGACTTACATTCTGGGCATTTTCCTACAAGTTTTAATTCATGAAAATCAGAAATACAAAAGTAAAACAGTAAAGTTAGGGGAAGCTCCAGTTTTACTGTTTGGGTAGTGGCCCGACAGGATTTGGATGGCCAACAACAACGCGCTAAAGTTTTCTCCCCCGTATTCAACCTGCAGTTCAACACTCAAACTTCGGTTTGTCCATTTTCCAGTTGTCTTGTTGTCACGTTCTAAAACAATTAAAGATAAAAAAAAGACACATTTTCCGATTCCCCCTCCAGAGATGTAACAAATTTCATTCGGAACTGTTGTTTGAAAAGCGGGAAAGATGAGGAAGACGCGGTAAGGTTTGTAGAACTGTTAACTTTGAGTTGAGTCGACTTTCACAATCGATATACTCAACAACCTTCTGCTTGTTTATTTTTTGTTGTGTGTTAGGTTTTCAGGCTCTGGTTTTACTGGCATGCTAGTTTCGGCAGTTTCTTATTTAACTGCGTGAAAGTTTAGTTTTCAGTGATTTGTGTTTCGTATAGATTTTCTCTTGAGATTCAGTTTGTTTTGGGAACTTATGTTTTGCAGAATGTGCTAATATTAGTTGTGCACTGGGAGGGGCCGTCAACAGTTTAGGACGCCACTAACCACCTTTCGTTGTTCTTACATGTAAATATACATCTCTCTACGTGATTGAATACTAAATAGCCTTTAGCAACATTCTTGCCCCGTATGATATAACTATTGGTCACCTTGCTATTGGTGCAGTACTGACCGTTGATAATGGAAAGTAACAACGGTAGTTCAAATGGACACCTGCCAGAAGACAAGGCATCGCCACCAACAGATGACCCTGCCTCTGACCCATCTTGTTCGTGCACATTCAGTTCAGGAATGAAGAAACGTATGATTTGTACTAAGCAAATGCCAACTAGACCAGCTCGCAGTATTAACAATGTTCCTCACATGAGTTTTGACGAGAATTTCCGTTTCAATGTAAGCACTGTGCTTCTATTTTTTAATGGATTGTAATTGGTCAGTTTCCTTTCTTAATGTTGTCTAATAAACTTGCAGCATTTTTCTTGTTCATTGTGTAATGGCTACTTTGGGCCATGTTATGGAGAACCAGTTTGTGCTACCTGCCATGCTTTTGTATATCCAGTTGACCCTGGCCCCATGTTTTTCTTCAGTGAGGTAAATAAATTGAATCCATGTACAAGGCGCTGGAGTAGGGGTGAAGGTGAATTTCTGATAGGAATGCTGTGAGCGTGGGTGGCCGTACTACTTTACTCTTGTCTATGAAAAGGGAAACAGCGTTTGGGCATTAACATTGTATTTAACTGATTCCTTTGATGAGTTAGGCACAAAGATATCAAAAGTAATTCATGTCATTGCTCCATGTTGAAAAAAATATTAGTAAGATCTTTCTGAGTGAGAGTGGAATTGGATTTGGTCCAATAATACTCCAGGCCTCTTACTCCAGCCCTAATACTGTATTGTTAAAATTGGTAAAAATCATTTTGTATTTTAACACCTGACCATGCAATGTACATTTCAGAAGGGGGATGATGGTGACTCTGGCAATGATGAACCCTCAGACATGGGTCCGGAGAGGAATGCAAATCAAAATAATCAAGGTCCTCCACCTCCAGATCCAGATGACGAGCCAAGAGAATTGGTCCCGATTCCTCCACCAAATGTTCCTATCTCACTCCCAAAGCAATTAGAATTGCTTTGCAATCATCGGGAGGAAGGAGATAACATTACTGCAGGACTTGTGGACAACCTTCCCCCAGAGGGTAAGATTTGGCAAAAGTGCATATCTTTGGAAGATTAATCTTTGTGTACTTATTTGCTTTGAAATTTTCCAGTGTTACTCACTTTGTTCTCCTACTTGGATGACTTGTCTCTTTGGACCTGTGCATATGTGTGTAAACGATGGCGTCATCTGCTCATGTCCAATATTTCTGATGCTGATTGGGAGAAATATACTTTGCTTAGGTGGCCTCTTTTCAGACAAATTTATTTTGTGGATGACTGGTTTCGTACCTATGGTGTTATGTTAGTATTTGTTTGTATCGTTATTTTTCTTGGTTTCAAAATTAATTTATCCCCTTATACAATTATATTTACATTATTCTGGTTGTTTTGTTTAGGTTGACTAGTGCTCCCTGCCGTACCTGTGTCCAGCAAATGTCTGCTCAGTCAGTGCCTCCTGGTGAAGAAAATTCATGGCGTAGAAACCGCCTGAAGATGGAACTAAAGAGTACGTAATTTTCTGTCATTGAAATACAAATGAAAAGTGGGCAAAGAGATCTGTTACCAGCATTCACCAGTTGCATTTTGCCTTTTTATTTATCTTTTAGCTCTCCGAACTGATCCTCCGGAGGGTATTGAAGCCATTCCATTGGATGTTAAATGTTGTCACTGGCAAGCTACCATACGAGGACCAGCAGATAGTCCATACGCAGGAGGTTTATTTTATCTTTATTTACAAGTCCCATACAGGTAAGTCTGAATGAGAGTAGATCTTTTGAAACCCTACCTTTGAACTTTCTTTGTTTGATGTAAAAATTTGCGATCTACTTTAACTTAACAGCTATCCAATGAGTCCTCCAACTGTCAGGTTTGTAACACGCATTTTCCATCCAAATGTGTCACGCCATGGAGACGTTGGGATTGACTCAATACAACATAATTGGAGCTTGGCCTTAACCTTATCTAAAGTCTTAATATCAATTCAAAGTCTACTGACTGATCCCTACTGCCAGGTAATTATTTCTTCTCATCAATTGGATTATTCCTGGATTCCCAGTCTTGATTTCTGAATTTTTCAGGTGTGTATGGAGCCTGAAATAGGTTCGCTCTACAAGCAGGACAGGAAAATGTTTGAAAATATTGCTCGTGCCTGGACATGGAGATATGCTATGCATGATGCATTGAAGCCTCATAAAGATCCACCTTTCCATTAAATAATTTATTTCCTGTACATCAAGTGAATTAAGAAATTCAGATTATCAATAATATAATGTTAAACATATAACTTTTCCTGTACTTAGGGAATTACCTTGGAAGACATTGCTTTTTAAGAATGAGGAATATATAAATTCCTACTCATATGGATCTGTAGCTATATATTTCCTTGCTCTTGTATAACATTGATGTCTTGTGAGAGTGAAGCCAAGGGTATCTATATTTAATTATGGAGTTTAGAAAAGAAAATCTCTAACAATCTCTCAACCAGTGAATGTAGTGTAACGTGTAACGTGTCTGTCATCTCTTTCATCTGTGATAAAATTATATTGTAGTTTAAGAACCCCCTTCCAGTCTTTGTTTAAGATTTTACTTTGATTTATGATTTTCTTCACGTTTCATTACATGATTGTTATGTTTTCTTGTTTTGGTCAATGTATTATTTGATGTTGAAAAATTTGTAGAGTCAAATGTCTAAGAAATCTTTGAAAAGAATATTTTGTACTACTTGTAAGATGCAAAATTTTGCAGGTGACACTAGTAAAATACACAGTGTAAACGGCATATGGCATAATGATTTTATTTTATCCCTCATCTTGACTAGCGACCCATCTCAAACCAACAATCAGTGCTTTGGTGTTTAGTTCAATCTTCTGAGATCAATAATTTGTGCACGCAGAAAGTCCAAAGCAGCTTTCAGAGATGGAATAATGTGCACACTAAAGATTTGCTTGCTCTCTTGAGGATATGCAAGAATAGCTATGAGTGATATGAGTAAACACCAAAATAAGAACCTTAAGAAAGCCAAAACAAACTGACAGATGATCCAGCATGCTAGTATGATCAAAACGTAGCTTTCGAATGACATTGCTGCTGTTAAAGAATAGGAGTACTTACTGAAGACTACATACGAAATCGTGAAAATTCAATTAAATCTGAAAAAAGGTACCTGTAATACGGTTGAATGTTAAATTTTCTTCTATCAGTCTATCTTCTCTTTGACGAAAGTTCACGCAAAATGTTTAAATTGCGCGGGCAGTTCACTATTTGTTTAATTTTTATTGTTGAATTATTATGTTTTGACAGCCTTATTTGTTTGAACATACCGGGACAACTTTTCGGATAATTTCGAACCAAAATCTTAATGGCGAATAAAAGGGCATCTTTAGATGGGTTTCAAATCTTTGGTCCGAAATTTCAAACCGTCACATTGGTATCACTGCAACCGTCAGTTGTTGAACTGGAGAGGAAGGGGAAGGGGAGGGGTCAGTAAAGTTTGTTGTTGATTGTCAGCCAAATGTTTATATCCTCAACTGTCATGTGAATGAATTATTTAATCCTCTTTCGCAGTTATCTTTTGAATGGAAAATGGCGTAACAATAATTTTGCTATATTATTTCGTTACTCCATTTGCTATCTGCTTCCACTTGTCTACTGCTAGTATCTAACCTATAAGTTGTCACCGGTATGGGTTCTTCAGACACTTTTAAGTCTCTTTGCCTTGAGTATGGTTTTGCTTTAATACTGCGCATTTGGCTGTATAATTCTGAATTTAAAGCTACTGTTTCTGGTCGAGTAGAAGTATCTACACCAATAAATTCATGGAAGAAAGGTAGCTTCACTTTATCAATAACTTGATTATTGCCTTAATTAATTTTTTGAATGTTCAGAATCTTAAATTATTTCTGTTTCCAGTGACAGAAGGTGTGGCCTTGTACAAGGATGGGATCAATCCATACAGTGGTGATATGTTTCATGAGAGCCCTGTGGGATTGGTCATTTACAGCCAGCTAATTGATCAAGCAACTCCTTATCTATCTGCTATTTTTATCATCTTTGATCTCCTAACTGGTCATCTATTGTACCTCACTGCAGTTGAATACATGAAACATCTAGTAAGTCTAGGAAAATTAAGGGTGAAACAATGAGTCTATTGTAAAAATATTTATGCTTCTTTTTGTTTCCTGATACTTTTATCAGATGAGGCGCCAGAATGAGGATAAGGATGAGTACAGCGAAGAGGTAAAAGAACTCTTACTTACAGATAAAGATGTCAAAAGACAGCCACTGTACGTTGTAGCTGCATACTTATTCAATCCATACATTTTATTCAATACTGTTGCTCAAACTACTACAGTCTTCAGTAACTTCTGCCTTGCTGCTTCATTTTTCTGTATGGTCAAGGGTTAGTAATTCTCTCTAGAAAAATTCAATCATTGTCTTAAATATTTGTATTGCTCATTCAAAACTAAAATGACTACTTCTGTGTTCCAGGTAATAGACCTGTTGTGTGTTTATTTTTATCCCTGGCAACTCTACAGTCATTGTACCCAATAGTGCTCATAGTACCTGCTGCTATATGCATTGGATATCATACTCTACCCCCTGTAAATAAATCAAAGTCAGTCACATCAAAATTACCAAAAATTTATCAAAAAATTTTACCCAGAGCTTTGCAATCAACAAATTCAGATCACTGGGTTAGGTCTATGGCTGCTACAATTGGGCTATTTGCAGCAATGACAAGTAGTTTGTTGGTCCTTTCTTGCTATATCAGTGGAGGATGGGAGTTTGTCCATTCTGTATATGGCTTCATGTGAGTTGTACATTCATCAAGTATGAGTACTACTGCTTTATTAAATTGCTCTAGTTCTTGAAGCCTTATCTGTTCTTCTGCTTTTCCCAGGTTGCTTGTACCAGACCTCAGGCCAAATATTGGTTTATTCTGGTATTTCTTTACTGAGATGTTTGAACATTTCCGCCTGCTATATTTATGGGCATTCCAGATGAATGCTCTAGTTTTATATCTTCTGCCATTGTCCCTACGGACTCGTCGAGATCCTGTACTACTTGCAGCAACACTTACTGGTATTACAGCAATGTTCAAATCTTACCCAAGTCTTGGAGACGTTGGTTTTTACTTGGCACTCCTTCCCATGTGGGCCCATATTTTTCCATGTAAGATATTATACTTGTCACTGCCTCTAAATTATGTGCTTTTATCTAAAACTGTAATTTTTAAAAAGCGCTTGTAATCAACCTGCTGAGGTTTTATTTTTTTAATTGCAGATTTACAACAAGGATTTATTGTCTTGGCTGCATTTATAATAACATCTGTATTGGGACCAACTGTGTGGCACCTATGGATTTATGCTCGTTCAGCAAATGCAAACTTTTACTTTGGTGTCGGTTTAGCTTTTGCTATTGCCCAGGTAAGCCAGCCTCTTGAATTTTGTGTTTTCTCCACAAATGAGTATTGTATTTGTTTGAGCCTCGTCCCATCTTGCCTGCGTTAACTTATTTCATTTTTGTCTCAGATCTTCCTCATAACTGACATCTTGCTGTCCTACACTAAGAGAGAGTTCATTCTTCGTCAAGTCTCAGGCAGTGTTTTCAATGGGAAACATCGAAAATTGGTTTTAGCTTAGTATTATTAAAATTTCTTTAATATTCTTACATGTTTCATTTGCTTTGTCTTCCTTTGCTGTACGCACTCCTGTTAGCGTGACCGAGTCCCGGTTTGCCTAAGTGTATTCGGCCAAGGGATCATCCAGAAGTACTTTCGTCATTCGCCGTTACGAAACTGACAAGCTCTCATAGCGCCTGATAGTAGGCAACATGTTGCCTGCAGTTCATGGGTGTGATGCGGGGTGGCCTACCCTGAGTATCGCAGGCGCCGAGCTCCCGAAAAGAAGGACGTACTTGCTGGACGATAGACGATCCCCAAGTCGGCCAAGCAACTTGAAACCCTGGATGCAGGACTTAAAGCTAACTCAGCCTCCGTATTGTATAACCCGGCCCTAGATGAACAAGACAGGAGATCAACAAAAGAGAAAAAAAGAACAGTGCATCCTCATGGCGAGATAAGTCCGTTTATTTTCATGTCGGACTTTTTGTCATCGGGCCCTAGTTGCAAAGTACACTCTTGGCGGAAGCACTCGCCAACACAATCGCTCTCCCGTGCCGCAGCATGCTGTTTCTTCTACCCCCCTTCAACGTCCGATAGTGGACCTCTATTTATGCCGCATTTTACCAAAATGCCTGCAAGCGCGCTTCTTTCAAGATTCCGAGATACCTTCAAGGCTGGGGCAGTCGGCCAGAATGAGGTACAAGTTGGTTTGTTTTGGCCCTAGGCGAGCGTTTGCGGGAGTTGCCCTGATTGTACTGTAAGTGCTATAGTTTACCTTTAAACCACGTGATAGACCGTGAGAGTCCCCCTCCCCCTTTTTCCCCGACACATACGCTCACTCACACAAATCTATCTATCTCTTTATCTATTTTATTTATTTCGATTTTAGCCTTCGAGACCCGCTGGGATGTGATGGAGCGGAACGGACTGTGCACCTCGGTGACGATCCGGTCCGGATGTCAGTGGTACTCTAGTGCAGCTCGTCACGCCTCGAGCAGAGTACGCGCACCTACCTCGCCACAGACAGCGCCACAGGGTAGTACAGTCAGCGCTGGATGAGTGCACTCAAAAACTATCAAGGGTGCAACCCGGTAGACACGTTGCAATTGTGCAACGTCGTGGGTGTGCATTTGTAAGTGCTCGGAGTTAAACACTTAAAAGTGCACAACTCAAAGTTTGCACACTTGCAAGTGTTTTTTTTTACCAGTTGCACACTTGGTCGACCGGTCTGTGTCACATGCAGGAGATTGGTAGAGGAATAGTACGGTGCGAACAAGAGTCAGGCCTCCACAAAATAACTAAAAAGGAAGCAAGCAGAAATGGCAAAGAGAGAGGGCAGGGGGGG